ACCCTAAACCCTAAACCCTCATCAGGGCCGTGGCCGTGCTGACGCATCTCAGCATTTTCCCGCGGGTCGCTCCCAGTCCAGCGCTCAGTCAGTTCGTCAAAGTTAGCTTCGTTAAGGGGTTTGCTGCAAACAAGGGAGTGGTGTGAAACATGCTCCCCCTACCTTTCCCAGCAGAGGCGCCGCAGGCTGGATGCAAAAGGGTTTGTTTAAGGTTTAGGGTTTAGGGTTGAAGGCCTAATATAGGGGCCTAAATAATTACCTATATTATTTCGGGGGCTTCTTATGATATTTAAAGTATAATATGCCCCAAAACACCCTATTCTAATTATAAAGGCCCCTCCATTAGTTTCGTTTAGGGTTCAGGGTCTAGGGTTGAGGGAGCAAGGTGCTGATTAGGGGGTCACGGCTTATGGTTGAAGATAGAAGCCTCAATAACTACCAAATACAAGAGCCCAAAGCCCTATTCTAATCATTATGATCCCCTACTATAGAACCCTATCATAGATCCCTTATCGAACCCCTTTAAAGATGCCTTTAAAGGAACCTCCTATTTCTAATTAGTAAGGCCCCTACATTTGAGGTTTTAGGCTTGGGGTTTCCGGCTTCAGGGTCTTCGGGGAAGGGTTGGGGCTGATGCTTTCTGTATACCCATAGGCCTTGTAGTGCCTACTGGGGATTACCTTACGGTTTAGGGTTGAGGGTTTAGGGAAATCCTAAACATAAACCGAAAAAAGGAACTACAAAGGAACCTATAGGTAGTGATCACATCCAGGTTCTTAGATACCGTGATATGCTCGTGGACGTGACTACATCTGTTTATTATTGGGCAGTTTCAGAAACCCTGTACAGTTGACTTCAGCAGATGGTTTTGATGGCCGCCCACGAGGCGTTTGCCAGGGAGGCATGCATAAAGATATACAACTGAACAGAAACACGTGTGCATGCTCGTGTATATTGTATGTGTGTGTATATATATATATACATATATATATATATATATACAATTACTTATTTTATGCACTTACATACATACATACATACTTACACTTACATACTTATACGTACATACTTATTCATCCATCCGTCCATCCATGCATGCATGCATGCATGCATTCCTTGAATTGTATACGGGACTCAAAATATAGGCTTATAGTGCTTTTTACAGGGGTTGCCTAGACTTTTAAATCAGAAGCATTGACTCAAGAATGCTCCTTCCTCATATGATCTTCGGGGGCTACATGGCTACATGTTATGAGGTGCCCTCACTTACGGTCGATGGCGCAATGATCATGGCAGTGGTGCTGTGGCTTGTGACGATAGTCACGTTGGTAGTCAGGCTGTTACGGAAAGACATTGGCACTCTTGATAGTAAGAAGCAACCGTCTTATAGTCAATCGCAGTGTCATGATGCTCATCATCATCATTATTGTTATCATCATCATGATGGCGATTGGTAGCGTTTTAAGGCCAAGGTTAGATTTAGTAGCAGTATCACCAAAATAGTAGCCATCTCCATAATTGAACAAATCTAGTACCAGTAGCAGTATCATCATAACAATAGTCATCATCATAATCGAACAAATGTAGTACCAGTAGTTAAAGATGATAAGAAGCACTCCGCTTTGGAGGCCCTAGCTGGCGCGTTCTCTTGGCCGCTGCCGCGGTACTGCTGCTGTGGTCGGGGGATTCGGCAGAATTTAGGGTTTAGGGCTTTAGGGTTTGGGGGATGTGTTCGATCTGCCCTTCTTAATTAAAGCGAAAAGGTCGGAGTGTTCATCAGATCAAGCTGTTTCTCCTTCTACAGCCCTTAACTCTAAACCCGAATCCCCCATCCCTCAGCCCTAACAGACCTAAACCCTAAACGCAAGACCTTGGTCTGCTGGATATTCCAAGCCTAGCACATTCACGGCTGGGCCTCCGTGGGCTCACCAACAGTCATCCGTTCCGAAAACCACCACTTTCAACCCTAGAATCCTAGAAGATAAGAAAAGCCCTATAAGTCCGATTCGCCCGTGAAGCCCTAATATAGAGCCTAAAATAATTACCTATACTATTTTGGGGGTTCCTTATGATAACTATAGTGTAATGGGCCCCAAAACCCTATTCTAATTATTAAGGCCCCTATACTAAACCCTTATAGTAGCCATTATAGAACCCTTAAGGAACCCTTTAAAGGGGGCCCCAAAACCCTATTCTAANNTAATTCTTAAGGCCCCTATATTATCAGCCCTATAAGCCGCCGAGCCCTTCTCTTCTCCGTCCTACACCCGCAGCTGCAGGCGCAGCTGTGGCACCCAGGCAGCACTTGCCGCACGAGCCATTTTGCAGGAGGCGGGGGGGGGGGGGG